ACATACTTGTCCTTTAAAGAAAGGAAAACATTTTAAAATTAGACAAATATGAGTTCCTAAGGGAACAAGGGGCATTGAAACTAACGTCCAAGGATCCAAAGCAATTTGGATACCAAAATCGAAATGAATGTCTCTTGTAGGTGTGTGGGAGCAATGGTGATGAAGATGATGATATTCAAGATGTTCTAGCCACACATGAAAAGGAATGGGTAACCTCTAAGCTTAATGTTTTTAATTTTAGTTATTTGGTTGCTCATAGGATTTATGCATGCAAGAGTTTTGATTTTAAATGATTATGAATTGTTTTTATTCTCATGTATGTTTAAAAAAATGGTTATGATGAACATTTTAAATTTTTAATGATTTTTTTATTTTTTGTTCATCATAATAAAATTTTGGTCAAAATTGGTTTTAATACAAATGATATCTCTCTAACAATTGATATTAATTTTTCAAAAACTTTGATTTTACAAATTTTAATTTTTTTGACCTAAATTTTAATGTTTATGCATGTGATTTAAATGAAAATGATATCTCTTTAACAATTGATATCAAAATTTTCAAATGCATAACATTTTTGGAAAACTTTATGCATATGCACTTAATTTCAATAATTAATATTGCATAAAGTATTTTAGACATGGATATATTGAATTTCATGTACTACTAACATGTTTGTTATTCTTTGTTGAAATTCAATTTTGTTTAAGTGTCATGATCCTAAAATCTTAATTTTGTTTGGAATGCATTTATTGAGGAGGAGCTTTGATTTTTCAAATGATTTTTAAAATTTCAAATCTACTACTTACTCTCCAAAGTTATTTTGAACTTCAAAGATTGAATTATTTTTTATATAACAAAAAAGGGGAGAAGTTTTGGTTTGAAAAAAATCAATTTCTTAATGAAAAAGGGGAGCTTAACATTTTCATATATTTTCAAACAATTGGTAACAATTGATATCATTTTGTTAACAATTGGTTTTTTTTATTAAACATTTTATTAGGGGGAAAAGGGGGAGCTTAACATTTTCATATATTTTCAAACAATTGGTAACAATTGATATCATTTTGTTAACAATTGATATCTTTTTCATTAAACATTTTATTAAGGGGGAGTTTTTCCAAAAACAATTTTTCAAATATTTTGTTATATCAAAAAGGGGGAGATTGTTGAATTATGTTTCGATATAACAAATTTAAAGGAAAAATATTTTTGGACTTGAATTGAATTTATTCAAAGTTTTAAAAAGGTTTCAAAAATAATTCAAAGTCCATTAAATTCGGATTTGGAGCAAAAATGCTAAAGGGTGTCAAAGTGCATCCATGAACCCCTGCAGTGCATCCATGCACCTGCCACTAGTGCATCGATGCACCATGTAGTGCATCCATGCACTCCATTTCGAATGCAATTAGTGCATCGATGCATCCTACTGTGCATCCATGCACCAAGGCTGCAATGGCTAGTAACGGCTAGTTTATTTGAATTTAATGAAGGGGTATCGATGCACCTTGATAGTGTACTGATGCACCATGTTATGAGCAACCTTTTTTAGTAGAAAAATCATCCCCAAATGGCTCCAAAACATCCCCCAACAGTTATATATGACATCAAACACATTTCAAGCTATAAATACAAGCTAAGGACACTTGAAGAAGCAAGAAAACAACTATCCAAGCAATCAAACACAAGAGAAGAGTTTTTCAATCTTATTTCACCTTTCTCTTGTAAATATTTTATTCTTGTGAGCTCAATCTTGTAAACACCTACCTTAGAGAGGTTTTCTTATTTACTTATTTTATCCTTTTGTAAAGGGAAAAGTGTTGAAAACATTTTGATGTTTCGATATAACAAATTAAATTAAAAGAATTTTAATTTTGAAAATGATTTTTCTAAGCATATTCAATATATTAAATCGAATATCAAAATATTACTCAAAGAATTTCAAAGTTCATTTTAAATCCTTACTAAAGTGTAAAATTAAGTTTTAATCTTAAAATAACTTCAAAACAATTTTACAAAATATTTCGAACCATTTCAAAGCCAAAAATTCCAGATTGCTCAGAGGGAACCGATTCCCCCCCAAGGGGGTATCGATTCCCCCTGAATGGTTTGGCTCCAAGAAAAACAGAATGCTCGGAGGGAACCGATTCCCCCCAAGGGGGTACCGATTCCCCCTGTTTAACGGTCGAAATATTTAAATTTTACACTTAGGGAACCGATTCCCTATGAGGGGGAACCGATTACCCCCACGCTCCAAGAAGAAATATTAATTGTTTTCACACTTAAACGGCTCCAATAACTTCATTAATGAACCCCAACGTTCAGAAGTGATTCAAGGTGTATTTAAACAAGCTTAGAAGCCATTGATAAAAAAACAAGAAACATCAAGCAACTAGAATCAAGAGAGAATCAAAGAGAAAGCATCAAACCTCAACTTTGAGCATTTCAAACCTATTTTTCATTCAATATTCATTTTACTTTCAAGAACACTTATTGTGCTCAATTATATTTATTCTTGAGTGTTCTTTCTTTGTTCTAGAATTGTGCAAACATCTTATATTGTGAGGTTTTTCTTGTAAGTTTGCAAAATTTGTAATATTCTCTTTGAGAAAGAGTGTTCTCAAGAATTGTGGTATAATTCTTGAGGGAGTTGTAAGGTTATCTCTTTGGCCTCAAAAGAAAGAACAAATTAGTGAATTTGTTGGAAAATCCTTAGTGTGGATAGCTAAGGTAGTGGACATAGACTTTGTTGAGAAAGTCGAACCACTGTAAATCGCTGTGCAATTACTTTCAATTTTCTGCAAAAGCTTCCACCAAAATTTTAATTGCCAATTCACCCCCCTCTTGGCTGATTCCATCGATCGATTAACTCAACAGAAAGGTTCTAGCTTATCCCGTGTAAAAGCTAGGGAAAAGTTCTAGTTTAGCCCGGAAAAACTAGAGAGTTGTAAGGTTATCTCTTTGTCCTCAAAAGAAAGAACAAATTAGTGAATTTGTTGGAAAATCCTTGGTGAAGAGCTAAGGTAGTGGACGTAGACTTTGGTTTAGAAAGTTGAACCACTCTAAATCGCTGTGCAATTTTCAATCTTTCAATATCCTTACTCACTAAACTCAAAAACCGTTCTGACCCCTCTTTGCAAACCGTTCCGGTTGTCGAATCGAGCTTCCGATCCCAACAAATTTCATTATAAATATTTATAATGTTATGATACTATTTGATTCCAATTTAAACGATTTTTTATAATTATATGTAATATACATATATATCTCTTCTTATTTTTTTCATATGTGATATGCATATATTATGTAAAGTTGGGGGACTCGACTAAAACATGAAAATGAATCTAGTAATTACTAAACATTTTGAGTTATACTTTATAACTCGATACAATTTTAAATTTTTCTTGAATCAAGTCGAATTTATAAAATTATAAATCTAAAATCTAATTCAGTTGAATCACATTTTTTTTCGAATCGAGTTAAATATTGTTCACCCACCCGAGTACCATAACGTTGCGAATCTAGCGGCCCAATCGTGCACAAGAAATTAAAAGCAAAATACAATATATGATTAAGATCCTTTTAACTTCACAAAATAGTGCCAAAATGCACTCGAAAGGAACATAGTAGAACCTAATTTATTATTTTTTTAATTCTAGTTTTTAGTTAACTTTTATAATACTTTTATAAATATTTTAATATTTTTATTAAAATATTTTAATAATGTCTTAATACTTAATTTTCTTTACTTAAAAATTAAATAAACCTTTAAATTTTCAGTTAAAATTCATTGTTCTTAATCTCGTTCAAATAATTAACTATAATTATGCTCACAGTTATAAAATTCAATTTAATTTTTTTGTCATGTCACTATTCACACATGATTTATCACATCATTATCATGAATTATCACAATAATATAATAAATTATTACATTAATAAAATAAAATATCACATTAATTAACAGTCAATGTCAATTAAAAATAAAAATAATATAATTAAAAGTATCAATTTATATTTACTTTATAAATAAATAATCTTTTAAAATTACATAATGATAAACAAAAATCTTTTAACATTTGACTAATTAGTCACTTTGGCTCTTACTCTGTTTTAGAATATTTTGGCTCCCAACATTTTATTTTGAGATAAAAAGGTCTATATGTGGGTGAAAACCGTTAGTTAACAAACCGTATACGCTCTAAAATAATCTTTTGTTTTAAAATGAAATATTAAAGACCAGAAAGATCCAAGAAAAATGAACATGGTTTAAAATAACTATTTAACCAAACTTTAAGGGTATTTTTACCCTAAAATAAAATATTATGACCAAAAATACTCCATAAAATATGAACAAAAATAACTATTTAATTAAACGTCAAAAGTATCTTTTTACTATTATACCTTTTAGAATATTTAATATTTAATTAAAATTAAATTTTATTAATAGTATCAAATTGAGGAGAGAGAAAAAAACTCATTCCGATAACAGAATTGAAATTATCTAGGTGAAGATGATGATGAAAAAGACTCCATGCAAATGGCATTGTGGGACGACAACACCATGTCAATAATACCAACCAAATTCACAGTGTCAATTGTGGGGGTGCTGTTCCTTTGCTTTTGAATAATGCCAAGCGTACCTAAGTCTGACACTACACATTACAGTTCGCTACAAATCAACCACACATATTTTATCACAAACTACATACATGTAAAGGCTACTGTCCCTAAACTTGCCTTTAATCTTAACGTCTTCTTCCATTATATGCATAACAGAGATTTTTTAATAAAAGAATAATTTTACATATAGTATTTAGATAATATTATTATTCACCTTAGGCTTATCATCATGATTTTATATATCTTATGGTTATTATATGCTGAAATAATATAAATTACCTTTACTGAAGTGCCCTTGTATAAATTTTATATCTTCCATGTCTATTTTTCATTAAATCGAGACTCGTGATCATTTCCAACAATGTCAAGATTCGAACTCAGTGAAAGTATAGTGTATATTATCACAACACCAAGCCTAGTTTAACATTTTGAGCAGTATGATTGTTGGTTTGTGGAGGCCTTTGAAGGAGATGATCTGGAAACTCGAACCACCTAAGGATCTCATTAATCATAAAAAATGTCTACAAACATCTTTTGAGCCTTCGTCTCTCAGAACATACCTAGGACATTTGGCGGAACCTAGCAACTGCTTTCTTATGAATCACTGTTTTGTAACTATCGCCGGCTTGCACCTCGAGGCTCGGGTCCAACTTCACCCGACTTCCAAGCCCTGCTCTTCCATCCATGGCCTGTGCTTCCACTGGTTCTGTCATTCCACTTCCATCCTTCCCCAGTCCCTATTTTTCACACATCAAATGCACAATAACATGAAGAAAAAAAAAAACCTTTGCATCTAAAATTATGAACTATTGATGCTTCTATATGTATCCTGTGTGTGTACCAAAATCCATTGATATCTATATATTTGGAGGGGTGTATTTGACAGGATTTTATATATTTGGAGGATCAGAAAGCCATTGATATCTATCTAATGTGTCTCGGAAATGGATAATTAGGAATAATTACAAGTCGGACATAATAGGGGAATGCGAAAGTTGGAATCATAAAGTTCTAGAGGGAGAACACGGAAATTTCAAGACATGAAATTCAATAACACTAGAAAAGGTAATCAAAAGGTGCAAGAGAGATGGTACCGATCCTTCATGCCAACCCATACTGCGGAGCATTCGGTTGCCCACATTGTTCTCATCGATTGCTTTCTTTGCAGTGATGACCTCAAAACTTTGTACATCATCTGATACAGCTGCACGTCCACCACCAACACCAGGTGGGAAAGGCATTGGATCTGAGGATAATTTTTTGAATGCTAAATCTCGATCTTCAAAGTACACAAACACAGAATTCCTCACAAGATTAATACAGTTTTAAAGATAGATGAACCCATCAAGTTACAAAACCAAAGTCTTTAAACTACCAACATTCAAAAGAAATCTAAGGGCAAACTTTGGAGATAGTTCTGATCATATGAAACGATGATTGGCAAAATATGAACAAAGAAGATAAGATACTGTTAAACAAGCTTACTTGAATTCCGGAACTCATCATCAAGCAGATAATCTGCATTGGAAGATGATGAACCATAAAAGTTCCTCCTCTCAGCTGCACGGTCCCTATATGTGGTTTGAGACTGGTCCTTGTTGGTAGTAGAAGGCACTGGAGCTTCAGAAAACCTTCTTTTACCACTCCCAGTTGTAGTTGGAATAGAACCCAATGCAGATGCATCAGTCCTAAAGGGAGCAATAGTTGCAGGATCCAAAGCTGATGAAAATGAACCCTCAGCAACTCCAACGGCCGAAGAGGTGGAAACCCCACTAGATGATAAAGAAGATGGAGTATCGGATTTCACCAAGCCCCTTGCAGAGCCTCTTATAACTCCCATTAAAGTCCCCCCTGAGCTATTACTTACAGGCCTCGGCTTTATTGGAGACCCCAGACCCCAAGTTGATGCAGCTTGGACAGTTGTAGTGACACCTGAACGTGTAGTATTACCCTCCTGCATGTCCATCATATCAAATTTGTCCTTGTTCTTTGCATGTTGTTCAGCTGAAGGAGGTTTATCTTCAGATGAAGCTGACAAGTGATTGTCAACAAGACCCAACCGGGATGTCTGCCCTTCATGACTCCTCTGTTTCCACATTGTCAACACATTATTCATCTTCTTCTTATTAGCTAGTATACTACTCTTTGAAGCAAGTTTAATCTCTTTTGATTTCTCCTTCTCTTTCTTCTCTGCAGCTAGTGCTGCTGCTGCTGCAGCTTGAACTGCATCTGGTAGTGAGGCGACCTTCTCAACTGATGCTACAGTAGCAGCTGGTGCAGATATTATTACTTTTGTGATACTGGAACCATCACTTCCTTTGGAAGGCTCAGCTTGTTTTCTAGGTATTACGCTGTCATTTTGATCACTGCAAGGGATGTACTGCTGAGATTGGTGATCGTATGAATACCAAGTTCCACTGTTACCATCATAATAAAGACCTGTATTTTGAAGCAACCAAGAACGACTTAGAAGACCTAAATTTGAAATTCTTCAGGTGTTGAATGAGGAATTTTTTAAATTTTGAAAAGCATCAATTAGAAACAATATCGTTTGTAATTGCATTGTTTGGATAAGTACTTTTTAGAAAGAAATTGACTATTGGAATTTGATGATGATTATGATAGAAAAATAGAGTTTTCGACACTATAATTGAAGAAAAATAAAAGCTGTACAAAAAAAGGAAGCAATCTCCAAGTTATTCAGCTTTCACACCAATATATTCTTTGTAACAATTGGATATAAGCCAACCTAACCCTATCCTCACCAATTACAGCTTCAGCTTAGGGACACCATGCATCGTGAAAATATTTTGAAGCAAGGAATCATATAGAAGCAATAAAAGCACCCCCAATAAATCAATTCCTAATAAAATAACAAGTTTGTTCTGCTATTAGAAAGCTTTTAAGTTATCTGAAAATAAATTTAGCCAAATGAAGTTTTTTAAAAGAAAAAATAAAATTCTTATATTTTGACTTCTAATGCAAAAGTGTAAAATAACAATGTCATGGACTTCAAGAAACTGAAAGAGGACCTGTATTTCCATCATAGTAAAACCCAGAGGCAGCATCAAAATAATAACCACAGGCTTCATCCCACACAAATCCAGAATGCCAAGCTGAATGATCTTGTTGAACTGAACCAACAACTTGCTCCTGCCAGCTAGAAGACTGTTTGTCATCCGGATTATATTCCTTTGGTGTCCATCCAACCGCATCGTACTGAAAGGATATATGACAATACCATAAGACCATGAAGCATAAGATGGAAACTAGGATGAAGAAAGTAAGCAACAGCTTGCATCCCATGAAATTAGATGGAAAAAAAAACCTAAGAATAGCAACAGCAGAGGACCTGCATGGAATCATCAGTGGGGGCCTTTTATATCATAAATTTAGGGGGAAAAGAAAGAAGAAATATGTAGATGACTGAACTAATTAGTAAAATCTCATGTAGCTTTGCTTTCAGGCTCTAAGGGTTTATTGTAAAGTATAGTTATTAACATTCATAAGCTATAATTACAGGGTACTAGATATTGATCAAGGAAAAAATAAATAAAAGCACTATCTAAGATAATGACTATGAACATCAACATTAAACTATGACGAGAACAATTATGGCTGCAATAGAACAAAACCCATGGCTACCAGCTTATGTCCCAAAAGTATTCAGCTAGAAACTCTTGCGAGTATACATGCCAAAATTTTGCACCGTAAATTGCATCAAAATAAATTGACTATATAAAAAACAAGGTCATAGTCTTCATATGATTCTTATATCTCTTTTATTTCATCCAGTACCACTAAACAATGGATAATGACATCAAAATTATAAGAGGTAATACAGAATTTGATGAGTTCATGGTATTAGTGATATAGATGATGAAATGCTGCCATTATACTCTCAATAGTCAATACAGTAAGGGTTCTTAATCCATGGAACTCCATTATGATTGATTCTTTTAAACTTCTATATCACACCATATGCTAGAAATGAGTCGCAGGAAGGAGAATGACCAAGCAAGCCAAGAACCAAGAGTAAAACTAACACTATCAATTATTTCTTCAAAAATACAAAAAAAGGGTCATGAGTTTAGAAGATATTGGAACACAATTGACTTTGTAGTGGCACCTTATAGTGGCATGATTATCAACATTTTTACAACTAATTATAGCTTCATATTTCTCATTGTTACTTAATTTTTTTTTTTATAGAAGTTAGAGGTCTCATTAAAAACTCCCTTCGTATTCGTCCACATACCAAGAAGTATGTTAACGAACACTGGAAGGAAGAAAAGAGTACCTCATATTTTATTGAATGAAACACCCATTACATATGAAAACACGAAATATCCTCAAACGGGGATAAACACTATTAAAAAAACATAATCACCCAAAGCTCTCGCCTTCTCGACCACAAAAATCAAGAGACAATCACCCTACACCTAAGATAAATCTCCATCAAAAGGAAAAACAACCCCACAGTTTTGACATGACATACATAAAAACAACACCTGAAACAAAACCAACAAGATTCAAAATCACCAAAAAAGTCAGCTCGATAAGTTATCTTCAATGAAACAAAACCTGATTCCCTTCCCTTCAATCAAGTATCCTTGCCACTTAATTCTGGAGAATCATCGACTTCCTCAGGGATCCAAGAGATTGGTTTGAAAGACGGCTCAACTTCATGCACCATGATTTTACAAAAATTAGAACCGACCCTCAAACTCAACAACTCATCAATTCTCTCTATTCTCTTTGAGGATATGAAGTTTTGCACGATCAAAAGATGAAGGAAACTGAGAGCTTTCATCAATTGATATTAACTTACCACACCTAGCCGCAATGTTCTTGAAAGTACCCGAATTCCACGCGTGAATTGGAATCCCTTCGCAAACTACCCCTACTCGACGGCACTCTACAACTAGACTCTCCGACCAAGCTTCAACTCTGGAAAACCACTCGGCAAGAGTCTCTGATTGTTCATTCTTCACCCTATTCAACATATTAGAGTCCTCGAATATCATGAGAACTACATTCCCAGCAACTCTCATTAACGAGAAACCATTGAGTCCTTTATCTTGCATTTGGCTAGCAAGATTGCCGATCTTGGTACAGTCCTTACACCACCCCATTATGCAGTTATCAGATATGGAGCTTATCAGATATGGAACCTTCTTTCTTTCTTTCAGTTCCACATACACAATTAAAGCTTCTTTACGTCTTCCTATTCTTTTGCTTCAGGTTTCTACCAGCAGCTTTCTTGTTAGTAACTGCTCCAAAGTCTTCTCTCAGTCAGTCCTAGGCACCAAGCTACTTCATTGAAATGCAAACATCATTATCATTGATCCAAATATTTTGATTTCTTCTTCACTTTAGTGGGTGGTAGAGGTGATCTGGAAGTAGTGTGCAGAACAGAGCAGGTACTATTGATTTTGTTCTTGGTTTCTTAACTCTTTTCTTTCATGGTTAATCAGGCAAATTAGACCAGATTTATCCATATATCCAGTTTTGAACATTCTTTATTGGGTTTTAATCTTTACCTAAGCTGACAAGGTTGTCCAGACTATATGCTTGGCAATAAAAACAAAAACATATATATTTAATAGCAGAAACTATCATCCTTTCACCACTAAAAACATTTTTGCATTCGGACCAAAAAAATCTTTGCACACAGCATTAAAACTAAAGATATCTTCAAATACCTGTTGAGAAAAAGCTGCTGCTTCAATCGCAGCAGCTGCGAGGCTACTTGACTGTGAAGCTCCCAGTGTCCCTGATCTTGGCCCAAGAATGCTCTTCGCATATGCTACTCTTAAGATTTGCCCATTCTTCTCAAGAGTTGTTCCATTTGTAGCTTCAAGAGCTTTCGTGGCATCACCAACCTACATTACATCATCATTCAAAGGTATGGCTCATCTTATAAATAAGTTTCCCAACCAAAATAGCTTTAAGCCCACAAGGGAGCACAGAATTCTAGATTGAGAGCAGCACCAGGATGTAGGATAGTAATATGTGTCAGGCCAGCTGAAAAATTATATCCTACTGTGTCAAAAATTTTGTTAATGGAGAACAAAATCAATGGAAGCAATTTATGGATGCAGATATTATATCTTCTTCGCCTACAGACATGATGTTATGTTAATTTGTGCAAGAGAACAGAGTCTGGAATCCTTCATATGTGACATTGCAGGATTTGTGAATTAGCATTAAGAAAAATAGCACTATTCTTTTACTTAATTTTCGTCTCTGCTATTATGCATAATATTTATATTGAACTAAAAGTAAATGTGCAAAAACCCAAAATGTTATTAGTTGTAAAGAAAAAAAAACTTTCCCAATAAATATACGAAAGTTTGAAACCATGAATACCATAGAGTCGATAAGTTTTTAGTTTTACAGTATCATATTTTATCATTATTTTCCCTAGAGAATTGCAACACGGTAAAATGAATTCGGGAATACACTATCAAAATTGCTTTTTGACACCTGCCAAAGTGACTTGTAGCAAAGCTAGATAGTGATCAGATTAATGGCATATAATCATTTTAATAATAAAGTCAACTGTTTAGAAGCCACTCTTATTTGCAGGTATTGTACTCAGTGTTAGATATCAAGAACATGACTAAATTGTCATAAAGAAGGAAGTCGTACCGAATGGAAATGAACAAATGCAAATCCCCTCGAAACATGGGTGAACTTGTCTCTAACAAGGCGAAGATCCTGGAGATTAAAATCCATAAGATTTTACAGATGCTAAAAAAGGGTTTTTCTTCAAAAGAGTATCATGCTAAAAATGCATACCTTAATCGGGGCACATTTAGAAAACTCATAACGAAGCATTTCCTCATCAGCATTTTCATCCAACCCACGAACAACCAATACATTGGTAGGACCTAATTACATATCAAATTAATAAGACAGCAATTACCCAAACATGATAAAAGCATGTTCAAAATAAGATCTAAACCAACCTGACTCAGATCCTCTCTTGGAATTTGATAAAGATATGTCAGCTGCTGGAGCATCATCAGTACGTGGCTCATTACACTGCATAGAAAGTTAAGAGAAAGGACACAGCAATCTCGCATCAACTCAGTCAGAGAAATCTTTAAACAATCATTAGGGAAACTAAAACTAATGTACCATCAATAAAAGAAATAGATCGACAACAACAGGATTCAGCTACCATGCTTAGGTACAGAATATATCAAGTTTTCAACAACCAATTTAAGTGCGTTGCAACTTTTGATAACTCAATCCATGTATATCCCTACCATATCATCATTTCCTGATATGCCTTTATCAAATGGCAATGAAGCTATCCAACTTAGTTACCTACTTCCGGCTACTGATAGCAAAAGGTGATTTAAAGATATATCACAGAAAGACAACTTCAATAAATATTTTAACCAAAAAAAAACAGATAAGCTGGGAAATAAAAACTGACCTGAAAACATGAAGTTCGACGTGCAAAATTGACACATCCACAAATTGTGCACATCCAATCAGAAGGTAATATGGTACTCTTATGATTTGAGTGACCCAATTTCAGGGCATTATCATGAGCAGAAGGGCCACCAGCACTCCCAGTTGGCTTACTACTGCAGAAGAATAGATTTCAGCATGATAATAGTTTTGTATGCAATCACATAGTAGGAAACCATTTTATACTATCAAACCAAAAAAAGAATAGGAAAAAAACTGATACAATTGTTTCCATAAAACCTAACATCACAGAGCAACATAAGAACTGTACCACATAAAAACTGTAATCGTAATTCAAGGAAGAAAATTTACCTGTACTCAAAGAAAAGCCTCCTACCATCCACAACAAGACCATCGTCACCAATCCTGTCAATCATTGTGCGTGCTGCTCCCTGTTTCAGTAGCAGTTTCCTTCATATAACATTCAATAAAAGCAAACACACTGCATTTAGTAGTAAGATGTGATAGCTACCACAGAAGGAAAATCAATAAAAGCAAATCCACGAGAAACGCCAGAGATTCGCTCCTTGATCACCCGAACATGACGAAGTGGCCCCCATTCAGCCTTATGGCCATATAAAATAAGAGAAAAGTTACTTAAGTAAACCAAGTGGCAGAATAATAATATTTATAAAAAAAAAACAGTATTACAAGAATCTGGTAAAGATCTTCTTCTGTTGTTTTGAGTGAGAGACCCTTTACAACGACAGTTTCAGTTGGTGCCTGCAAGAAATCACAATCTTTACCCAAATTTACAGATTAAAACAAATGCAACAGTAAGTACAGGGAACATGGAAAATGAAGCACACCACAGAATAATGCTCCAGCTGATATTTCTCTCCTCGTTCCCTTTGCTTCTCAGTTTTCTCATTACGACCATCATCATAGCTGTCCTCTCGGTGGTTTCTCCGGTTCCAAACTCGAGGTGACCTTGATCTAGAATGATCATCATATCCACGGGATCGCGAGCGAGACCTCTCGCAACTTCTGTTTGGACTCTGATCTCTCTCTCTACTGATTCGATCTCGATCACGTGATTCACGCTTCCGCCAATTTCCATCTCTGTGACTGCCTCTTTCATGATCAGAATCATAACTACGCCGACTATATTCATAACTCCTCTCACGGCTGTTGTCCCTCCGCTGATGGGAAATGTGGGGCCTATAATCATAATCATCATATGAGTAGCCTTCCCTATCACGTCTCCCATACCTAGAGGGCCTGTCAAATTCATGATCACGAAAGTTGTCAACACCACAATAGCCATCCCGAAACTTATCAAAATCTTGACATGAAGTGATCTCATGATCATGAAATGTATTCATGTCCCTATATGAATCAACATAAGGCTTCCGGTGACACCTAGAATCCCTATCACGGGGATATTCTTCCTCATAACTTCTCCCTGATTGAGACCAGACACCAGATGCTGCAGGAGGGGGGTGATTACCCCTCTCCAGAAAATCACGGTGGTAGGCACTTCTTGGATAGGTATCATCCCTCGAGTATCTTTCATCTAGAAATCTCTTTTCATCAAAAGAGCCACGGACCCTGCCATAGTATGAAAATAAGTGGAAGTGAAGATAAAATGGGATGCAAGGAAGCCTATAAATAAGTATTCAATAGCAAATGAAATCAAAAAATTTGCATGGCATCGTGAAAGGAAAAGAATAACACAAAAGTACGCCTTGTTATCACATAATTTTGCAAAGCAAAAACAATCAAGTACAGAATATCTAACTATCAAGTGTTATGAGTAAATGAATGGATACCACAATAAGCAGTTGAGAGCACTAACCGAAAATTGGGTTCGCGAACAGCAGAAAACCCCTCAAAAGCCTGTGGATTCAAGAGATAAGCTATGTCAGTGCGAGGAAGAAATACGAATTAGGCAAAGGGAGACTCCATATCCAGAGTACCGGAGGGCTTTGTTTCATATTTTGTATAAGGGATGAGACAATCATCCCATTTTTATAAAGGAGGAAACCGCAATTACGCTGTTATTATCCCATCCATGCTGAGGAGGATAGCGAGCAGGAGCATGGTCCATTTTCCTCCCTGTAAAAGCGTTTCGGTTGAGGGCAGGCGTAGAAGAAATTGTCTAAAACCCTTTTTAAATTATTTCCTGTAATGTAATCCACAAGACAAAAGAAACAGAGACGGTTATGCCATTTACGAAGAAGCAAGAAACACAATTGCCACAACTTTGGACTCGGCCTCGAAACCCTCTTTCCATCTTCAAAAGTTGATTGATTGGGAAATTTAATTTAACCCTAACCTAACATGATCTAACATAAATCAAATCGATGTTTTCCCTTTATGAACAAAGTTCAAACTCCACAATCTGCATTTGATTTGTTTACCTGCCCGGCCTGGGGTTGGATTGAATTATATCGAATTCGATGAAAAAAGTTATCCAAATCAAATGAAGCCAGCACCCGCACCTTCGCTTGGTCGCCCTTTTCCACGATATCGCAATATCTGATTCTTTTCGCTGGTTTCAGTTTGAAACTAACCCAGTTGGAGTAATTTTTGAGAGATTTTATAGTAGGGGCTGCATCAAAGCACCATAAAATAAAAATACCAATTTATAAATTTCTCAAAACCCTAACTCCAATTCCATACCATACATATTTACCTAAAAGCCCTCTCTTTTGTGAGTAAATATAAAATAATTTTCAGGCTTAAATACCAAATAGACCCTCCTAATTATAACCAAAAATCATATAAATTCCTAATCAAATGAGCGATCACAATCAAAAAAAATATTTCAAATTATATTAAAAGTTAAACACACAAAAGGCCATTAATTAAATAAATCCGACAGCCTGGTTGATTAAATTTTATTTATTTATTTTATTAGAAAATATTAAAATTTAAATAAAAATAACATATTATAAATAAATTCGACAGCCTAACTGATTAAAGTTTTATTAAGCATACTAACGTGACAATATATTTTTAAAATAATTCGAACAAATATTACCTTATAGTCATTCTATTATTGAAAATAAAAAAAAAATAAAAAAAAAAATTATATATAATTTAGGGCAAAATCATTATATGAATCTTATAATTAAGTTAATAGTGTTAGATTATCTTATACTCCGGTGAAAATATTACAAAATATAAAAAAATAATTAAAAATAAAGGTAATAATTATTGAGTTAAACTTGATTGATGTTTTAAAAACAAAGAAAATATTTTTGTTCAAGTTGATCTCAGACAGCAAATAAAACAGAAAAAGTTGTTAAAAAATAATATATTGTAAATAATTGTATTATTAATAATTGAGTCAAGAAAATAGAAATCAATGGTTAAATTACATCCCTTCTAAGAACAATATATTTTGTGGCGCAAATAAAGAGAATGTAGAACGCTGTGATTGCCATTTTCTTATGCTCTCTCGCACAAAGCCCTAATCTGAACAAAAATGGAGGCAATGGGCAATAAGCTGTACAAGAAACACATTCTCAATAGCATTTTCTTTTCACTGGTTAACTCCCAGTACCAAATTGACTGAGCCTTGAAAACCAGAATAATTACATTTCTCGAGCAATTAATTCAGAAAGCTGCTGGCGACACCTTTTTATATATGGGTGGGGTTGCTGCAGTCAAGTGAAATTAGGGATATTGCGGTGGCTATCTGCAAACTCTCGGATTACTCGTTTCAGCACCCTCCCTCCTTTCCCTTGCATATGCCCGTAATTGCCTGTTCTTCCATTAGAGCTCTTGCTCTCGAGATAATCCGAGGCAGCACCAGCAAGGGCCTCCATCCAAATTGGCACCATTGTTTCAGCTTCTCCCTGCTTCAGATAGTCAGCTGGAAGAGCCTGTACCTGGTTAAACAGAATAAATGTAACAAATACTATCAGATTGAAGCGACACAGAAATTCAAATTCTACATTTGCATATAGCATACACGGAAATGTTGATTGCATTGGTTTATTGGCGTTAGCTATAACCCTAGAAGAAAAAAAACCTCCATGACTTGCATAAGGTCAAATCACAGTTGACATAATGGAAAGTTTGTTCAATGGCGCCTGGCAAACATAAGTCTAATCCAATCAGCAGTCCTGTTACCCTACATTCATTTTGGCATTTCCATGACTTGCATATAGGAGCCAAAATAGAACCGGGTCCAAAACCATCTTTCACAAAACTCAAAGCTCGACTTTTAGCTTATTGAATGGGGTTCTTTTGTAAAAGCTAGGCTAGTCAAAAGCTCTCCCTTAGTGATGGAGATTGGCTATGAGACTCCTTGGAAAGGCTACTCAACCCAATTAGCAGGGCCCCATCATGCTCTTCTCTTTATAAGATAGGGACTTTTAGCTTATTGAATGGGGTTCTTTTGTAAAAGCTAGGCTAGTCAAAAGCTCTCCCTTAGTGATGGAGATTGGCTATGAGACTCCTTGGAAAGGCTACTCAACCCAATTAGCAGGGCCCCATCATGCTCTTCTCTTTATAAGATAGGGTTTCCCCTCTCCGGAAGGATTCCTACGGTAGTGCAGAATCAACTAGGGTTGCCCTCTCTTTAGCCTATCTGTCCTCATGCAAGCCAATCTCTAGTAATTGGTCTATGGAAAAGGGTCTCATTTTGGCATTTCCATGACACGCATGTAGGGGCCAGAATAGAACACTCAACATCATAATAGGATGCAAGTAGGAAGGAAAATCAAATCAGCTGCATAAGCTGCTTTATTAACATTTTTTAATTTACGCACAAAAAATCAAGCCCACACAGCAATTTTGCAAGCATATTCAGATATGCTCAAAAAAGGAGGGAAAGTGGGAGAGAGACCGCTGCTTGTAACCATGAATGCAAGACTTCCCAAGAAATAATGGTCTTCCAAGTTGTTCTCTCGCTCAAACAGCAAAATGCAGCCAATTGTTGCAATATTGTTGCACACTTGTGGACCTATTAAGGGGGAAAAAGCAGAATAATTTCTTAGCCATGTGGGGTATATACATACATGAGATGCTTTGATGTATCATGATGTGAGTGGCTTCATTGCCTTTAAACTGGATTAAGCACATATGACACCAAGAGTTTCCAACTAAATACAGTCAATAATGTATTTGAGATTCAAGAAAACCACATTTACCCGTGACATTGCTGAGACACCAAGCAAAGCATACACTATATTTGATACAAGTCCCTCCCCACTATGGGAAATAACATGTATTGATGTGGCACCAAATGATCCTTCAGGAGAAAAGGTCATTGATTCCAGCAAAGAAGCCAAGCCAACTTCCAAGAAACCTAAAAGGCTCAATCAAATCATATAAAAAGGATAAAAGAATTATCAAGAAAACTCAAGCACAAGCAAACCAATGAATAAATAAAAACAATTATAATCACTGGCCTGTGTTACAATTCAGTAATCCAACTGTGTAATATGATATGAACAGACTCCAAATATACGTGTGTGCATACGTCGTGGGCTTATCTGTAATTATGTATCTGCCAATGCTAGAGAACCTTAAAAGAAATCTAGTTTAGAACAGAAATAGATGTATCATACAAAACCTGGAATTGCCAAGCATGTTCTGATATTGCAGGGACAAAACAGATCATACCAGAGTGGATATTACTACCTACTACCATCCACCCCAAGTAAAGCTCCAATACTAAAAGGCATGGAATATTTCTATCTCCGTATTAAAGAAAAGGAAAAAGAGTTTGTTTGTTTGTTTGAATTGAAAAAAAGAAGTGTAATTTTTGAAGACAATGGAAACCATAGGCATCAGTTGATTGCTTCCTTAAATAACATGATATTTCAGATTGCAAACACTGTTAGATTTCAGAACCCACAGGCAAAGAGAATATCAGTTAGGGGCTCTTATCTTTGATCTCACAAGTACAAGGAAATGAGTAGTTAAAATAAAGTTCTTACAAGATAAGTACGACATAGCTGCAAGTGCTGCCCCACGATGCATAGCAGTGCAGCATATAGCTGCCTTTTGAAAAGAGATTTCTAGAAAAGCACCTGATGCAGCCAATGCTTCCTGAGGTTTTTATTGAACAGCAAAAAAGAAAAAAGAACATTCAAATAACTTCCTCGTAGAAGACACATAAAATGTCGAAAGTACAGTTCCCAGATTGAATTTCCAATAGAAGTAAAAAAAATCAAGAAAAATGATAAAGAGTGAATAAGATGTATATTACACCTTATGAGAGCCACGAACAAATGTAGATGCAAAATTTGTGTAGGCCTCTACTAGGTCAGGTTCTTGGTCACATACATATGAAGAATTAAGGGACATTACTGAAGATGCTCGAGTAAATCGTTCAAATGTGCTAATGAACAGAGGACTGTACCCCTCCTTGTGACCAAACTCTTCGATAACAAGCGAAGCTGAGGAGCAAATTTCTTGTGAAAGAAAGTTCATTGAATGCTGGTATCTACTATAATATAAAATAAATTTGTATATGAGTATTTGAGATGTCATTACAGCATGGCATGTGTTATATTTACTTCTCGGGAAAATAAAAAATACCATCCTTGTCATAGTACCACATGAAAAACCAGCCAAAGACATCAGAGATAGATAAGAATATTTGTCACTCCATATTTTTGTTCAGAACTAGAGAATAATAATCAAGCAGATCATGTGAAGTAAAATATTGGCTATATAAGAAAATGAAGTGCTATACAAACTATCTTAGCATCTGTGACTATACTTTTGCTAATTCTTCAATTGTAAGCAAAGAAATTAATGATGATTTGAAAGTGCTATTGAGCATGTACTATTAAGTCAAATATGAAACAGACCTTTAGTATTTATTACAAGAAAGATGATGATCTTTGGACAAAAATACCATAATACCTACTAGCACAAATTCTTCCAGAACTAAAGCCTAAATACTTACCAGTTTTGATGTAGCATTCATGACTTTGAAAAGACAAAAAGTTCGTCGACAGGCAATCTAATATTTTGGGCAGAAGAATTTCAAAGTGCTCGCCTGCACAATTAAGCAAGATCCACTTTGTAGCATCATTCATTCAAATGACTACATGCCCCCAAGTAAACCCTGAAGTTATTTGATCCTAGGTAAAAAAGGTGGAACTTTGTTCAGTACCTGAGGATTGAATTGCTAGTGAAAGGGCACGACAAGCTGCAGTAGATAAACTACTGTTCTCCATGTGTTCTGATGTAAAAAGCTTCTCCAGCATAGGCCAGAAAACCCTAATTACAGCAATGATGGGATTATCGGTAGAAGCCTCAGATGGCATAGGCATTGCCAGATGACTGAAGACGATACCCATCCTGAAAAAATTGGCAACCGAAGATTACACCTCAATTCGTATAGCCGCATCTCATATCTGAAGCTCCACAAATGATAGCGCATGATTGCGTAAATTGCATCAAGTGTGATATTCAAGTCATTACTTGAAGAGAGTACCTGTGCAGCCCTCTAGTTGCGCAGCCCAAAATTTGGGTATAAGCAGCTGGATTCTGCCTTAAAGAATGGTTATTATCATCGTCAATCTGAAAGAAAATTAGGCTATTAGTTGTAAACCAAAAGTTTAGAATGTAAAAGAACAAAGTCTGCAAAAGTTCAAATCAAAAACAATATAAAGAAAATGCTTCCATAAAATTCATGAGTTAAATGCTGAATTGACGGTGACATCAAGAACTAAGTAAATAAAATCTACCGGCACGCATTTATTCTAATCTGACAACCACTCTCTTAGCTTCTAAGTCTACTATACATCTCTTTCCAATCAGACGTATCTACCACAACAGAACCCATCTCCATATCATTCAGCTTAAATTACAACTAAACTGTCTTTGTAAACTTATCATCAACTACCATATAACAACACCAGGAGACCACCTATTCTTATCATACAATGGAGAATCACTCTTTGATTCTCTCAGATGCCACGACTTTTGCAGACGGCATGCAATCTTATAGACAAAAGTTTATTCCTCAACAAACACTAAAAACCAAACATGCTAGCTCAAAATGGCAGAGAGTATGCTACGGAGAGAATATTAAGCTAGAAAATGGTTATATATCCAATGACTGCAAGCTTGTCTCATTTCTATTCATAATACTCTCGTTATGCTTTCTAGTTCCCATATATTTCAACAAATAAGAGCAGAACAGTTAAAATGCCTAATGCAAATATAGTCTTGTGAAAAAAGACTACCAAAAAAAATGGCATCCTGATGACCCATTTAATACAATAGAAAATTAAAGATACTATCTGACCAGATATTAAGAAATTAATACATGGCAGGATATTATTTGGCATGAAATAGTAAGATTTGACTGAAAGCAAAACAACATGCCCTGAGTAGTTGATTCAATTCCATTACTAAGGTTTTTTTCACATGCCTTAATCAAGAAAAGGAAGATTCATATCAGATTCAAGAAAACCAGAATGCTATGAGTTTACAGATCCTACTGGGATGAAAACAAGCTTTATGTTTGTTAGAGAAAGAGACACGAATAATGTTTTTTCCTCAATATCTCCTTTGTAGTAGTCCCAAGGGATGACTGACATTAGCTGGTACAAGCCACAAAAGATAAACAGAAAAGGTGAATTTGTCAAGATAGTGAATATCAAAATGCGCAACATCATACAGGTTTTTTTTTTAAAAGAAGTCATTTTTTCCACTAAAATGGCTTGCAGAACCCAACAAAACAGAACAATATGCTATGAGTTTACAGATCCTACAGGGATGAAAACAAGCTTTATGTTTGTTAGAGAAAGAGACACGAATAATGTTTTTCCTCAATATCTCCTTTGTAGTAGTCCCAAGGGATGAGTGACATTAGCTGGTACAAGCCACAAAAGATAAACACAAAAGGTGAATTTGTCAAGATAGTGGATATCAAAATGCCCAACATCATACAGGTTTTTTTTTAAAAAAAGAAATCATTTTTTCCACTAAAATGGCTTGCAGAACCCAACAAAGCAGAACAAGGGGGAATATAAACCAAGTCTAGCAGAAAGTAGCCAAAGAACAATATATGATGTACTAGATATCTACTCTAGGTTTCAATGGGAAGAAGCGAATGAATCATCCACCAAAATACAGCATTCAAAAATTTAAGTTCTTTCTTCTTCAATAAAAGATAAAGGACTTTAGATAGGGATGTAGCTCATATAAGATTAGAACAGATAATAACTTGCATGGCTGCACCCAACAAGAGCGGATGAAAAAATTAACATACACAGGCACCAAGTGGAAAAGACTAAAAGATTCTTTACAAAAATATGAAAAGGTACAACCACAAACAAGTTTCCAAAAAAAGTAAAATAATATCAAATAGAACTCATATTTGCCTGTTATTAGAACAGCGGCCATGGATATCCTGTGAAGGAAAAGGATGGCCCAGTTCAGAAACATTACCCAGTTATGCAAGTACAAACCTGAAATAATCCAAAATCCTCATATTGGGTTGAATTTAATACCCATCTAGAAACTGGTTTCAGAGTAAAAGCATGTGCCATGTTATACCTATCTCAGCATTTATAGTTATTATATCAGATTAGTTTTACTCTACACCCAAACAGTTCCATCCTCTCTTCACTGAAGCATCATGATGCACAGTTACAATCTCAAATTGCAATACCTATTGATAATTGCTACAACAGTAGGTGGAAAGTGCAACAATCATTAAAAGAAATCACAACATTTTCTGTTAGCTCCTTTAAAACCATTTTCTCAATTTAAACCTTTTAAAGCTAATTGCTTCAGAGAATCATGGAATAAATTTCTGTAGCCCAGTTAATACAGCTACAAGTAATAACACAGAACGGAAAAGAACCACCAAACCATAATAATAGACCAGTTACTAAAAAAATGTAACTCACAAGTTTCCCGATAGCTTCATAGCTAGATGATAGCAATTTAGACAACAAGTTGTTCTGCAGCTCCTTGTTATATACATAACCAAGGACCAGGCTGATTGCAGTAACAACTTCTTCTTCATCTTCCAAAGGAAGGCACTTCTTCTCCAAAGCCTGTGGGAAAAAATGATAAAGAAATCAGATTACTGAATGAAATGATCAGCAAGTACCTAATCTCAATGAAAAATATTAAAGAATAGACTTAATATATGTTTTGCCCCATGTTATAATGAAATTGTCACTTTGACCCTTTTACTACTTTTTTTTCAGTTACTTTGTCCCCTCTACTTTCATTTTTGTTATCAGACCCCTTGGCGAAAACAATGAAAAAATTTACATAGCCCAATGAGACGCTACCATGTGTCAAAATAATTTAAAAAAACTATAGAGAACAAAAAAATATAAAAAATTTCAATATTTCAGAATCTATTTTTTCTGTGACTTTGACCCTTCTACTTTCATTTTGTCATCATTTTTAGGCCTTTTCTGTTAACGTTAAAAAAACTGTCATAGCTCAATGAGACACGTTTCACAATTTTTTTAAAATATTAAAAAATCATAAAATCCCAAAAAATTTCAAAATTTTCAAAATTATAGAATCCAACTTTTAAAATTATATATTTTGTTATAAAAAAATATAATTATGTTTAATTTCTTTTTTTAAAATTAAAAATCCATAATTAAAATATAAAAATTCCTTAAAAATAATAAAAATCAGAAAAGTCTGGAAAAAAATCTCATTCTTTCTAAGAGTTTTTCTTTTTTTCTATAAATTTTATAATTTTATGAATTAAAAAAGTAATTAAACATAATTAATTTTTCAAGAAATTAATTGAACATAATTACATTTTTCAAGAAATGAGGAAATTAATCAAAGATTCTAAAAAAAAGTCTGGGAAAAATTTTACTCTTTTATGATATTTTACAATTTTATGATATTTAAAAAAGAAATTAAGCATAATTACATTTTTAAAAACATATGATTTGAAATTTTTTATTCTGAAATTTTGAGTTTTTTTAGGAATTCTCTGATGCTTTTAGGATTTTTTTCTATTTTTATGACTTTTAATGTTCTTTTAACTTGTTGACACATGGCAGCACCTCATTAGGCCACATCAGTTTTTTAACGGTTAAAAAAAGATGATGTAAAGTGACAATATAGCTATAGTACAGGGAGCAAAACATATATTAAGACAAAAGAATACTATAACCATAAAAGTAATGAATAAATAAAGCCAAAGAAACGATAATCAGAAAACATATCGGCAAAAAAAAGCCCATAACCTGTTGGTGGATCATCAGCTATATGTTATGAATTATTATGGAGTATGTAAACAGTAAACATGCAAAAATGTCTTTGCTTGCAGTCTATACATGCAAATCAAATAAATCCAGAAAGCATAACCACAATTAGATGAAGCAAAAAGTATTCACTTTAAACATATAAAAGAACATGAAGAACAATTACCTCTCCTATCCACAAAAAGATATCCAGATTTGATGACTCGAACATCACAGCAGAAGCATCTTCGCAAAGTTTGCGTAGTGCAGATGCACAAGAATTTGGGGAGAGGGGTTTTGAAATCCCTGCAGCAAGAAACAATCTGGAAGTAGCAAATTAGTGAAATAATGAAAAATTACTTACCTATATATTCTAATAGAAAGAGAGCATGTCATTGCTAAACAATAGAAAATGGGCATCCTTACAGTAAAGGTCTAGCATTAGTTTGCAGGGTAGATATCAACTTGGAATAGGAACCAATAACATCTGCCACTGATCTGTAAACCTAGTTAAAAAGAAACATCATCCTGAGCAACTTCATTTTCTCGACAAACCTATATTGTGAAATAGTATCCATTGCAAATTAACCAATAACAAACTGACATACAATGCACATGAATCCCTTGAGATCATCAGAAGGCCAGGAAGACAACACTGTAACCAACTGCATGTCTACCAAGAAATCAAAAGTGTGGTCTCCTTGCAAGACTACATCGGAAACCTGTAATTGCAGGAGTATGATATTATTATATTACAAGAAAATTTGAGGAACAATATGTTTGCGGATAGTCAAGATGGATTCCTCCACATTAGCAGCTGCTAGGAAAAAGCTAGAGCATTTTGAACATCAACGGAAAAGAGTGACATGCATGACTTAAATAAAGGTTAAACACAAAACCACAAGAACGGTGTAAGACAAAAGAACTTACCCATTAAATGCAAAATATGGACATCTGTACATATGTTAATTTGTCCATGTATAGACTAAATATAAACCACCTCATTGACAGTAAACACAGTCAATTGGAGTTGGTAAGTGTTCATTAAATAAATCAAAAGGAAAACAAAGTGGCATTCCATCAAACACCAATCGTAGGAACCACTCAGCAAATAACTTGTACAATCCAAGTCTTTTAGTCAGCTTAGAAAGATGGAAAATGAATATCAATGCACCAAGAATTCAGAGGAAACAAGAACCGGTGCAAAGATGTATGTTGTGCTTACCACATTAAGAGCAAACAATTTGATTTCCACCTCTTTCCAAGGTATTGCCGCATTTGAGGAAAACCAACCACTGAAGAAAAGCTGCAAATGGAAACATGAAAAATGATACAAGATTGAAAGAACACCACATTCAGTCATGGGAACCATGGGGAGAAATGTAACAATAGAAAAGACAGAAAAACATTATATGCTGATTAACATTCCTCACAAATAGGTGAGAGGCAGAGTTATGCAAATATGTTATAGCAAAAGGAAACAAAGGTAGAGCAATGTTGTTTCTGAAAGCTCGGTGATCATGATAGTAAACTGGATCAATAAACCAAAAAAAGTACTTGAAAGGGAATAAAAAATAATTAAACCACCAAAGATGCTTTCATCTTTATGCAAGAGATATCAGTGACCAGTACAAATTGTAAACCGGTAAAACCTAAAACTGGGATTATTTTACAGAATAAGAACCTTTTGTATAAATGTAGCGGGTTGTAGTAATTGACATATATCCACCAAAAGTTCAACAAGATCCATCCTAAATTGGACAAGACCATCTGGCAAGTCAAAAGTTCCACTCTCGTCATTAAATGTAGATTCATCCACCTATGAAAGGCAATTACAACATATTAGTCTTTGTTGAGTAACCAGACATCCACACGCAAACATCATACAGAATTAAAAATGATAAGTGATATTCAACAAAGAGTAACATTAAATAGAAGCAATGGTAAGTAAGCATTCATGTCGTTGTTGAGTTATTAAAAGTGCATCATGGATGACCAAATTAGGGGCCATCAACCCAATTACTCCCCTAAGAGCATGCAATAGGAGTAGCAGGTAATCATTTGGACTGCTTTTCCTCACCTATCAACATGTAATATACAAGAGTGTAAAGAATAGACTACGATATCCCCTAAAAATGTGTGTGGATAGAATATTTCTAAAAAGGCTTTCATGCCCAAAAAGCATTCAAAATGCAAAGACTAATATATCACTAAGCTAGAAGAGTGGCACAGTTCTATTGAGGTTTCAAACGCATTCATCCAAACACAAAACCTCCACAAGCCCAAAATTGAGATTTTTTGTTTCCTCAGTCCATCTTGCTTCAAGCAAAAAATCTGCTGTCTTAATTAAGATGCAGAATACTAATATAATTAACTTGCAAAACAGGAAGTAGAATTTAGCCAAACTAGAAATCCATAAGTTCAGCTCCAATTGATTACAATTTTGCTACTTGCTTTCAGCTTTTTTTTCCTTTCACAGAACACAATCTTATTTCCCCAATTGAATAAATTGAGTTCCAGTCCAAACATGATAATTACAAATCTTGGCTAGACCCATGAAACTTTTCCTTTTCATAAAGAGAGATAGAAATATAGCAGAGGACAAGTAAAGGACAAGGAAATAACCTGAGCACGTAGCAGAAGAGCATCAAGTAATGCTGAGAATACAGAAAAAACATGCCTTCGACATTTTTCTTATTTGTATCATCAATGTCAAGATTAAGTATGTAGCTTGCGAGACCTGACCTGGAAATGAAAGAAGATTGAGAGCCTCCAAATAACAAAATTTAACAAGAAAAACAACATTTATTCCACAAAACAAGATTTCTTTCAGTAGAAGTGTTTCAAAAAGTACCAAAATTGCAAAGTTGAATCCGCGATATCCCAGTCTTCACAGGGAAAAGCCACACAGCTGAAAGCAGAATTTACAGATTATACTAAATCTGTGATTAAACAAATGCCAGCATGAAATTTATGAATGAAAAGTAAAAGGTACCAACAAAGACCAAAAACCAGCAAATTGTGGTGAAGCATGCATCTATCATGGGCCCCTCTCAAATTGTTATCCCTTTTGCATATGATGATTTATATCGTACTTATAAAGGATCTATTACATGTTTGATAAGCCTTTAACACACAATGCTCAATTAGTTACCCTATAACAACCAGACAAAGCAAATGCCTATCTGTTCATTTACCACAATTGGATTTTGACACAGCAAGGTAAAGGATGATTAAAGAACATGTTCACCTACTTCCGCATCAATATCAGAATGCAATTGTTATTGACGAAATGAAAGTTTATGGATTAAAACATCACCTCAACAGAGCATCTGTCAGTGCACGTGCCTCAGCACTTGCCACTACAATCAAAGATGGTGCCTAGCATGCATAAAAGTGTGAAAGGTTAATAGGAATTGATTTGAAGATAAGCCACCTTAGATAACTTCACTAACAGCAATGAGATGCCTGGTATAAATTTGTCCATGTATATGTGAAAGTGTATTCAAGGGAGCAAAGTGCGAGGCAACAAAACCTTAAATCACCCAAGGTGCAGAAAAAGGCACTCGGCTGAGTGAAGTAATATACAATGGATACATGTGTGTATGATAAATTAGAAATATGTCTAATAATAAACCTAAAGACTGGTCTAATAAAAGTATTATTAATTGGATACCCATGAGACATACAGAATACTTACAGCCTGCCCAATTTCGGACATCAAACATGCAAGGCCAGCAATCACCTTCACATCTCCCCCCGTAAGAGCAGGTAGAAGAAGCATTTCCTTAAGAAATGGTACTCTGCATAGCAAAACTTGAGGCAGCCCCTGTGAAATCAAGCATAACAGATGTAACAAACAAAAAAAAAGACAAAGGTTTAAAACAAGAAAGCATAGAAGAAAGGTCGGACAGCAGTATCATACCTCATGACGACTCACTAGTTCAACAAGAACTTCAATGGCCAAGTCAAATGAAGAGGGTACCTAAAACCACCAGAAAAGATATAAATGTACAATAACTACTTGGCTCGAAAGTCATCATGTTGACAGTAAAAGTTTACCTGTAGTGAAATGAATACAAAATTAAGCAGTGGATGTGTTGAAAATGAAACTTCAGCAATCTCAGAGAAGCACCCAGCTCGAGCCTAAGAGAAAAAAGGCAACTGGGGTGATGAGAGACATAGTCTAACAGTTTCTTTCATTATTCTTTTGTGATTACCTGACTCTAAAGAGTAGATTAATAAAAGCATACTAACTCGGGCAGATGTAGCAATTAAAATGCAATTGTGTTAGAAATGACATAATTTTAAGTAACTATCTTACCCAACTGAGTAAGCAACGGAGAACTTTTCTGTTCCTTTCATTTGGTTGCATACCACCTTCAAACTTATTTTCTGATAACTTAAGTAGGAATTCAATAACCATAGGAGTATGCGAAAGAAGCTGCTTTACATTAAAAAAAATAGTAATGTTGATAAAAGGGCAATAAAACGGTAACCAAGGAGTGTAAAGCTAAAAGAAAAAAAAAACAAGCTAGAGAAGGCGGTAAGTAAAAAATGGAAAATAGTAGACCTCCTGTCCATACTGGTTTCTGTGGGATGCACTTATTTACAATCAGTAGTTTTGGGTGTCAACAATTTCTTCTGGTAGAACAGTGAGCATCTCAAGTACAGCAACAATCCCATCATTCTGGGTCCGGAGATTTTGTAGACTATAAAAAAGCTGTTCAATGGGTTTTCCATGCTCAACAGAACAAAGTATAAGGGCAGAGAGTGCGAGGCAGATTTGGGTTAAAAGCTGTTATCAAGAGAAAACAGAATCTTAGCAAGGAAAGGATCTTTTTCTTATAAAAAGGGTAAACAAAAGCCATAGTCTTCATATGTAAAAATAAAAAGCAGCACCTGTGGAGGTCCCGAACCAAACCTTTTAGCAGCCACAAGAAGGGCATTAAGCAAAGCATCTTTAACTCCTAACTGCAAATAATACCCTTCATTCTGGATCTGCACCAAAATATTTGGAAATCACAAGAGGCATTATCTAATCCCAGTCAATAGTAGTAAAAGCAACCTAAACCCTGCAGCGTAAAAGCAAGTATGTATATACAAGAGATAACGAAAGCCTGGTACTCTTAGTGAACTCCTAGAAAGTTTTAAACAATTTCAAAGACCTGTGCATACCTTCCGTTTGAGAATCTGAGCAGCAAAAAATTCCACTTCATAATCAGAGAGGAAAGGTTGATGATCGGAAGAAAGGATGGAGGTGGCGATCTCCCAGCTGCATCGGTCTGTTGGAACTGGACCAACCACTGATTGGCTGCGACGCGATTACAAGATTCTTTGTCATGATTCAGCACATGGACTGCCTGCGCCACCTTCATTTGCAGCTCCATTTTCTGGTTCTAAAATGCTTAACCAAGCATAAAAAGCCAATGGCCTGAGACCAGACAACAATGCCCGAAATTCCTTTGATTCATTTCTTCATTTCCCCTCCTCAGAAATTCCTTCAATTTTTTAACTCAAACAAAATTCGAGCTATAATCTTTTTTCATCCGTTAATTATTCACCATAAAATACAAATATCCTCCATTTCATTTACCATTCAACAACACGACGAACCATAATTAACCAAACCAATAAAATTTACATTAATCATAAAATTTAAAACAAAATGAAGTCGAAAGTTACCCCAATAAATATGAATCCAATTCAAATTCCTGCAAATAAAGGCAAAATGTTATTTGCAATTCTAGATCTTCTAAACAAACCCCCAAAAAGCCCAAAAACCCTAACCTTTAGATTTTGGGATTTTAAATAGAGAGATGGGGGAGAAGGAAGGGTGAAGCAAATGAAGAATGGCAGCTGATTCTAGGCCTGGTAGCAGTGGGTCATAACTTTAGAGCTGCTTTTCAAGGTTTCCGTTAGTGTACAAAGAATGAGGATGCAAATGAATGGAGACCGAAAGTGGAAAGTAGCAAGGACCACAAACGGCGGAAGAAAGGGATGATTGAGTAGGGAAAAGGAAAGGACGGATAGAGGAGCGCCTGACGGCGGCCGAAGAGTGTAATTGATGTATTGCAACACGGAGGCCGATGAACAAGCGACGACGGAGAGTAAAAAAAAGGGGGAAGAAAATGTTAAATGAAGCGAGAAAGGCTGTGTTTTTAGATTCCCAAATTATTGCTATATACTGTTCGTCGCAAAAAAAAATATACTATTATTAAAATTTGTTGTTTTATTGAATTACACTGTTTAATTTAATAATTTAAAATATTTCATATAAAAACTAAGTTGTCTGTTGATAAATTATTAAAAAATTTAGTTGATAGGACCAATTAATTTTTCTAAAAAATAAAAAGAAAATATATAAAATCATAATTTTAATAAAAAAACTTGTTAAGAAAATATTTCAACATTTATTGTTAATATTTATTTTTTTAATCTTTCAAGTAATTTTTACATCTTGTATTATGAATTAATTAACAGCTTTTTAATCATAAAAATACATTAATTAAACTATAAAAAATAAATATAAATTTATAAAATTATATTAATAATTTAACTTTCAAGAAAATAAATTAATATACATTTATTTATTGACACAATTATTATTAATTCTCTTGTTTTTTTATGTTGTATCTTTTATTTTATTTTTCTTGATTTTTTTTCAATTTTAAATAAAAATCTTTTAGTTTTCATGATATGTTTTTATATGCTCTTGTATATACATTTAAAGTCGTTTTGGTGCTCGCACAAAGAGCATCACAATATTTGTTTTTTTATTAGTTTTGTCGGTAGCCACGTGTAGTTAAATTTATTTTTTTGGTAAAAAGTTGTTTGTCAATATAATCATAATTGTGTAGCGAACCATACTGTCATATAGTTTGGTTCTCTCACCACCTCTTTATCACTTCATCAAGAGTCTCGTTCGACTAAGACAATAAGTTTTATGATGGTTATTGGGTTCTTTTGATGATGGGCGTCATCCTCAAAAGAATGTTTCATTTTTCTTCATATCTTTGAATTTAATACTTTTGTTTTTGTATGAATTTTTTGTGTAACTATTATCCTATTTTTTTTCTAATGTATTTTTTATTCATTATATTATTCTTTTATCAATAAATTCTAGTTGTAATTGTTAGGAAAGAAATAAAAAAATTAAGCATATTATATAAATGTATTCAAATTTATATAGAGTTCTATAACACCCTTAACCCGTACCTTACCCGAATAAGAGTCTGAGGTGTCACATTGACTTTTCAAATCATTGACTATTAACAAGTAGGGAATAATTTAAACTTTTATTCATATTAAAATAAACCTTAATAATTTACATAAATACAAAAGTATAATTTTTACCAAAATATATCAGAGCATTTCAATTTAAACTTGTAGTACACGCTAACAGTTTACAAATTTACAAGATATCTACATTTAAATTGTTCAGATATGATCTTTGTGGGAGTATGATATCATTTTCAAGCTTCAAGCTTCTATTTTCTTCAAACCTACGTGTGAAACTGTAACATCCGCAATACCGGGTTAGTGACCAAATTGTAAAGTTTCAGAATTTGGTGACTAAAGTAGAAGAATGAAAGAATTCAATGATTATTTGAATATATATATTGAGGGTTATTTGGTAATTATTAAAGGAAATTAAGGGTATTATGGTCATTTGACCAGAAAGATTTTTATAATTTTTTTTAAGGTAATATAAACGTGGGACATTTGAGAAGCATCCAGAGTTCTCTGCTCCTTTCTTCTTCTTCATACGTGGGAGAGCAAGACAAAGGTAAGTTTAATTTCAGTTGGTTAATTCTTAAGTTTTAAGCTTAGTTTTGATTCTTTGGGTATTAAATAAGCTTAAGGAAAGCTTATATGGGATTTAAACAATAAGATAAAGGAATTATGAAGGAATTTGCAATATGAATTTTAAGATGAAATTTTGATATGGTATGGTTGTTGAAGTTTTAGGGATGAATTTGACTTGTCATCAATCTAATTAAGAAGTATGAAGTGTTAGAATTGGAATTAGAACACATTGAATATTTGGTATGATTTTTGAATCTCATATGGAAGATAGGATTTTGAGGTTTAAGATGAAATAAATGAATATAGATTGGTTTAAGTATGTACTAGAGTTAAGAATGAAAAGGGGATGATATATGAAGTGTTTGAGTGGAAATGAAGTAATTTTCGGGTTGAAAATATGATTTCTGGGCAAGGGGAATCGTACCCATTCAAGGGAACCGATACCCCTTCAAACGAACAACATTCCAGAATGTCTGTAGGGAATCGATACCCCCATAGTAGGGAACCAATTCCCCTAAAGGAAATTGTGAATATGGATTTAATAAGTTTGTTTAAGTTGCTAGTATCCAATTACAAGGTGTAGGTATCTAATGATTGCCTCGAAATGTACATTTATGTAGATTCTACGCATAAAGCAATTCCGTAACGTTTGGCAAGTAAGATCGATCAAGGGAAAGATAAGAGATTGGAATTGACTAGTGAGGCCAGGTGAGTGCATATTCAATAGTATATGATGTGCGATGGGAATAAACTTGCGATGAGTCTATTTCCTGAAGTGTTACATATGAATTCATGATTAAAGGCATGAGTTGAATATGCATGTATGTATGCTTGATTATATGGATTGATTTGTTCTTTTATGTGTTAAGTGATAAAGTATAAGTGATTACATAAGAAAGGTTATGAATTATATGAGTTATAAACTATGTGATCATAGTAAAATAGAATTATATTATTAAATGAGAAGTGAAATAAGCTAGATAATATTGATCTATAGGATGATGTGAGAATAGTACACTAACTGGGAGATTTGAACATAAATAATATGAACATATAAGATAAGCTAGATGGGAAAGATTCATATGTTTAAATAAAACTATAACACATGGGTTGTATGATAAAAATTTATGAAGCTATATGAGAAGATTATAAGAGTTATATGAAATTGAATTAAGTATACAGATTAGATTATATATATATAAAGAAATAATAGAAGTGAGATGTGTTTATAAGTCTGACATAGATGAATATGAATATGAATGATAAGAGTGCTATATGATTTATATTATGATAAATCTTGAGAATATATATATATATAGATGGATATGAAATGAAATGAGTTATATGAATACCTAATTATGTGATGAAATGGTGGATTACCTGAACATGTGAATATATATATATATATATATGTCTAAGAGAAGGCATAAGATTAAGATATAAGCAATGTGACTATAAGTATATATGTGCTCTAAGTGATATGACTTATAGGTATTTCTATTATAATGTTACATAATATGTTATGTATGTTAAATGAATTATGTGATGGTATAAGAATGATATGAATATATATGTGAAAACAAGTATATGTTATGAGATAAGACCTATGACTATAAGCTACGTGAAAGTGTTCTAGGTGTTTTTATATATTACATGAAGTTTATGATCTTATGTGAACAAGATATGATAAGTATGTTTACATGAATAAAGGTGATTGGGTGAGAAATGATAGAAATTATATGAAAACATGACATATGTGACATGTGAATTATATGGAAATGATCTACGTGTAAGTGAACTACGTGACTATGTGATAATATGAAAATAAGCTATGTGATACGTGATATGTGAAAGTGAATTACAAGTTTATGTGAATATTTGAAATGAAATAAATGATAACGCCCATG